ACACAAGCAGGGGGAGTGGGAGAGGGAGAAGCAGGCTTCCCGCGGAGCAGGGAGCCCGATGCGGGGCTCGATCCCAGGACCCCGGGATCATTACCTGAGGTGAAGGCAAACGCTTAACGACTGAGCCACCCAGGCGCCCCTAAGTTTTGTGTAGTTTAAAATGTAGATTCCTCTGCAGAAGAGCTGGCCCTTTCTAAGTTTTCCACAAAACCATGTTTAGAGGGCGTCAAATGGCTACCTGGAACTCAGTCCTTTCAGGAGTCAGGTAGTGTTTTGATAGCATTAGGGGTGCCCTGCGGGTGGCCTTGGGTGAAGACTGACAACATTCCTCTCAGAGAGGTGAGCACACTGGCAGCATCTTACCAATCTGTGAATGCCTAGCCCTTCAGAACAGAGTTTGGCATTTCAGAACCACTAGGCTTTGTCATGGGCAGTTTCCCTGATGAAAAGGTATGCTCTTTCTCCTTATGGGAGAATTCTCTGGGCCTCAGTTTCCTCCCCTGTAAAAAAAAAAAAAAAAAAGAATCATAATAATCTCACCTACATCACACAGGTTTTTATGCGATCACATGCGTGGTAACACTCTGTAAACTGACTAACACTACATGAGCCACCACTTGCTTCCATCCACACTGTCTCCATAGTCAATAAGGCCACTTTATCTTTCTGGGCCTCATTTTCCTTATCTCAAAAGCCAGAAGGGTGAATTCAATGCTTCTGAGTTTCCTTCCAATTCTACCACTCTGGCCCTGTGCCTTGTTAGGAAAGGAGCTTTTCACTGTATAGTGAGCAGTTTTACATTCATGATTGAAGGTGAAGGGCAGGAACAAAGAGGTCAAATATGGAAAAACAACAACAACAAAAAAAGAGAAGACTAGAAGGGAACCTTGGCTCTATACAGGGAGTAACACCAACTGCCCTCCTCGTTTGGTGTCCAGGATAAAATGTCTGCCTCCTTAAAAAGCAAAAAGGTCATGTTCTTTGGCATAGTCTAGATTTGCTTTACATGTGGAATGCTGAGTTTGAGAATCCCATCAATCTCTCTTTTCTCTCCTTATCAGAGTCAATCAATAGTTGGAAATGTTAACGAGATGGTCCATCCAGCAATTTTTAACAAGGGGCTCACTGCCCAGATAATTTAATGTGGAATATACACATTGCTCACATTGCTACGTCGTGCTTTTTTTTTTTTTTTTACCTCTGCTGGGAGTGATGGCTTCCACAAAGCAGACTATGTCCTATAACACCAGGGTCCTGCACAGATTTTTCCCTTCTTCCTCTCATTTTCCACTTTCATAATAAAGAAGGAATATGTAAGTCCTTTGACCAGTTAGATGAAAGGCTGTCGTCTTTCCCTCTGAGGAAAGTGACCTTGTTTTTAAGGAGCCAGTGTGGGATGGGAGTGGGCATAGGGCTGGGCTGGCAAATGAGGGGCAGGTGAGGCAAGTGGGGAGATTAGAAAAACCTGTTTCTCTCCTTCCTCCACACTCCCGGCTTGAGGTGTTTAAGGAGGGGCAATGAGGATCCAAACCCAGGACCTATCCTGTGGCTCTAAAAGTTGTTTTCTACAAAGGAGAATGGATCTTGGTAGGGCTTTCTGGTGTACTAGACACCTTTGGTGTCCAAGAAATGATTCTAGGCCTCTAATAACAGGCAAATTGGAAGCCCTATGAATTCTCTTGTGACATATGTATTATAGGCCCACAGAGATAAAATAATTTACAAAAGCATGTGCGGTAGATGATAGTTTCCCACAACTACAGGAGCCTGAGGAACACTTTTCAAGACATCTGGCTATTCAGCACATATTATCAAAAACCAGGAATGTCCCAACTAAATATCTTTTGTTAACCTTAATTATCTCTGAAACGAACAACTTATGGTCCTCTGGCTATAACCCAAGCTTCCCCATCCCTGTGCATTTAGTCAAACTATTCCCTCCCTCCACTTTAACGACCCTTCCCTATCAAACATTCTTCTTACCACTGAGCACGACTGGTCCAAATCCTACATGGTTCAAGTCCCATTTCAAGTACTGACTTCTTTATGAAGACTTCTCTTTTTCATTGGCTCTTGTTATGGTTACTTTTTTATGAGTTTATGTTTTGTCCCTCCCCCCATGAGGCTATCCATTCCTTAAGGCCTCCAACTAATCTTCATATTCCCTCATGTTCAAAACAGTGCCTGCTTCAGGTCCTTCAACAAACTAGTCCTTCAAAGAAAAAAATCTGTTGATCATTTGTTTAACCAGAAAAAAAAATCGAATAACCTCATCTATAAATGGAATGTTTGCACTATTTAGAAGTCTGAACCACAAAAAAGCTGTTAACAAAGATTTCAATTCAAAGTAAATAACAAACTTCTAGAAGATTTCCTGAGTTCAACACATTCCAACTAAGTTTTGCACCTTCTGCGTATTTATCCAAGCAGCTGAATAAGTTTTGAATAATAAGCCTGAGGCATGGCAAGGTCTTCAGTCATCAAGAAAGATTCAACTATATTCAGAGCGTGTGGTTTCCAAAGGAGGAGCACGGACAAATATTTTGAAAAGGGTTTCAACAAGATTGATTGAAATAAAATGTTTTCCTGAATAAATATTACTTATACGGAACATGCAAGCCCCATCCCCATCCTGGTTCATGAACTCTTTGCTTTAATTCCTTATCTCCCCAAATCATTAAGAAGGAGGGAGATGTGAAATGTGAGATGGACTGTACTAGGGACTGAATGTATCTTCCTCAAATTCATATGTTGAAATCTTAATCCCCAGTGTGAAGGTATTAGGAAGTGGGGCATGATTAGGGGAATGATTAGGTAATGACAGCACAGCCCTCATGAATGGGATTACTGCCCTTATAAGGAAAGGCCAAGAACTAGCTAGCCCCTTTTCTGCCATTGCAAACCAGGAAGTGGGTTCTCACCAGACATCAGATCTGCCAGAGCCTTGATTTTGGACTTCTCAGCCTCCAAAAATGTGAGAAGTAAATTTCTGTTAGCAGCCTGAATGGACTAAGAATGTCTGTACCTGCTATGAGAAGTAAATTTCTGTTAGCAGCCTGAATGGACTAAGAATGTCTGTACCTGCTATGACCATGATGCTTTATAGACACAATTTCAATCTGATCAGCAATCTGATAAGGCAAGTATTATATACACTTGTCTTACAGATGACAAAATGAGACTGAAAAGGGTAGTTAAGTAGCTGCTCCAAGGTCACAGACCTAAAAGTAGACCTACATCCAAACCCAGGTCCCATTGGTTACAAAGTTTATGCTTTTGCACTGCACAATGCTGCCTTATGTAGTGTTTTCATAGCAATCCAAATAGATGAGAAAAATTTGAAATAAATTGAAAAAAAAAAGTTGAAATAAAAAATTTTTTTAATGGAAATACAATGAGAAAAAAAATTTTTTTTAAAAAAAAAATTTTTAAAAAAAATACAGTGTGGTATCATGAAGCAAAACACTGGACCAGGTGATACAGAACAAGTAGATCCTACTCAGCCATGAACCACCTAATTGTATGACCTCAGCCAAGATACTCCATCTCAAAATCATAAAATCAGACTGTAAATTCCAAAAAAAATGCATATTGAAAATCACCCCTTCTCAATCTTCTCCCTCTGCAGAAGAGGAATTTGAGGCTCAGATGAAGCCATGTGCCTACAGTCACACAAAGGCACAATTTAGGTCTATCAAACCCATCTAGGGCTCCTTCCACTGGGTTGTGTCTCTCCTCCCTAGGTCTTGGTCTCCTTGTTTACAAAGCAAACCTCCAAGACTGTATTCTCTTAGTTTGGGCTGTTAGAGAGGAATACCATAGACTGACTGGGTGGCTCCAACAACAAACATTTATTTCTCATAGTCCCGGAGGCTAGAAGTTCAAGATCAAGGCCCCAGCAGATCTGGTGTCTGGTGAGGGAACCCTTCCCGTTTGCATATGACTGTTTTCTCCTTGTATCCTCACACAGCTGAGAGAGAGAGAGAGATAGCGTCCCTCTTGTTTTTTTTTTCTCCTGTTTTTAATTTTTTAAATTTGAGTATAGTTGACACATAATGTTACATTAGCTTCAGGTATACAACATAGTGATTGAACAAGTTTACACTTTATGCTATGTTCATTGCAAACGGAGCTACACGGTACAATGCAATTACAATACCATTGACAACATTCCCTCTGTTGTACCTTTTATTGCCATGACTTATTCATTCCATAACTGGAAGCCTGTATCTCCCACTCCTTTTTATCCATTTTGTTTACTCCCCCCAGCCCTCTCCCCTCTGGCAACCATCAGTTTGTTCTTGTGTTTCTTCTTATAAGGGTACTAATCTCATTCATAAGGGCTCAGTGCTCAAGACTTAATTACGTCCCAATTACTGCCCCACCTCCTAATACCATCACATTGAAGGTTAAGGATTTCAACATATGAATTTTACAGGGACACAAACATTTAGTCCATAACATAACATGTGTGGTCCACTTAGACTGTGCTATACAAATGTAGAGGATTTTATTATGATTTCTTAGTGTGTAACGTAATGTGAGAGGTCTCAGAGATACTATGAGAGAAAGACCATACAGCCTCTGGCCTGTGGTGGGGGGACGGGGGGAGTGGGTAGAGAAAGAGAGAGAGAGAAGGGGAGGGAAAATGGGTCCTAGAGAGAATCTTGTCCTTAGGGCTGCCTCAGATCCCAATAATATACCTGAGTGAGTTTCTGTTCTTTATAACAAAACCAAAAAAACTAACTAGAAAATAGAGAAAAATCTTTATCTAAATTAACTTTTTCCAGAGCATCAAATGATACTCTGGTGTAGTGTATATAGGTAGAAACACCCAAATGCTAGCATTTTGGAAAAAAAGTTACATAATTCACCAAAAAAAGAGCATTTCCTCCTGGACCTCTCCTCAGAATCTTCAATTTCACTCCTCCACCAAAATAACTATTATTAATGTAAAAAGGCGAAAAGAGCGAGCATGTGAGCTTTGGCTCAGTGAAGCGATGGTGGAACAGCCTTCCTTCCTTCTGACTGCATTTGGCTCCTGTGTGCTTCCTGCAGGTACATTTTTTGGCCTGGATCATCAGTGCAGTGTTTTGCTTAGCAACTGAGGGGCTTTCATTGAAATACCTCTCTGCTTAGAGGGAGAAGACTTGCCTATGTCACCTTAGAAGTTAATATATTATGCTACAGTGGAGTGCAGCTAGAAAGTTATGAACAATATTTCCCCAAAATGCTTTCACTGGTACCCTATCCCTGTGAGATGCTATGTGACAAAAGGTCCCGAGGTCAAATAAGTTTGGGAAATGCCGCCTTCTGTATTGCCTCGTAAGGAGTCATTAATGCACATGAACATGTTAAAAGTCTTCTCTGCTGCTCCTCCTCTGTACCAGATTTCCCAATTCAAAGTGCCTTTGGGGGTTGGCTTTGGGCCAACTCCTTAACTCCTCTCTACACTCTCCCTAGATGATCTCGTCCAGATCCATGACTTTAAATACCACCTCAATGCCAATGATTTCCCAGTTTATATCACAGACATTTCTCCTAAGCTCCAGACTCCTAGATATAATATCTGTCTACTTGATAGCACCTCTTACATATATAATAGGTATCTTGAACAGAACGTGGATAAAACAATCTCTTGATTTCCTTCACTCCTGTAAGTCTTTGCTTCCTTAGTCTTTCCTTGCTCAGTTAATAATTCTACCATGTAATTCACTGCTCAAGCTCAAGCCCAAGAGCTACAAGTCATCACTGTCTTCTCTCTGGTCCCTATTTCCCACATTAACCCATCAGGAAGCCCTGTTGTCTTTACTCCTGAAAAACATGCTGGCACCATCCACCTCTCTCCACCTGTTCTGACAACCCCATCATCATCTCTCAGGTGAGCTACTGTAAGAGACTCCTAACTGGTCTCCACCTATAATCGTGGCCTTTAAATTCCATTCTCTACACAACAGCCAAGGAAATTTCTTTTTTTCAAATTGTAGTATTAAATTGTGCTAAGGCTTAAAGCGCTTCATATTGCTTTCCACTGCACCAACGGTCAAATCTTCCTTCTTACCACGTCCTCTAAGATCATCTCCTGACATGCACTTTCCTGTTTGGTCAGTTTCTCAGCTCCAGCACAGAGGCTCTCTTTCTTCTTCCAACATGCCAAGCTTTGTCTTGCCAGGTCTGTGGACTCATTGTTCCCTCTGCCGCCTGCGTTTCCCCAATTCCAGTTCTTCCCTATAACATCACCCCTTAATGTCTTCCCAGTCCCTACCGTTATTTGAGATTTTGTTTGTTTGGTCATTCACCTTTTTTGGGGAACCACCTAGAAAGTGAATTCTATGAAGACAGGGCAGGGGTCTTATCTGTTCTGCTCATTCTTCATCAGGATTTGTTCAGTGCCTGGAGCAGTGCCTGGCACATAATAGGCACTCAATAAGTATTTGCCAACTGTATGAAATGATTTGAGAAATTCTGTATTGGAGAAAACTGTGAAACTTAGTTTAACCCTACGTTCTTCAAATTTATTTGAGCTCAGAACCCTATCTGCCATTGTAAAGAATATTCACTATCCCAGGGACCATTTCCTGGAATGCAGTTTGTTCTATGCTGATTTAATAACAGTATTGAGAAGAGCTAATGTTGGAGATCCAGTGGCTCTTCAACATCAGAACTTGAACACCTCTTGTAAACAGGCATTCTGGCAGGTCTTTGGGAGTCCAGGGTATTTTTATTAGGAGAACGATAGTTTTAAAAGTAAGTTATTGGGTATTTTTCCTTGGGATATAGATTCAAAAAACTAAGCTAGCAACTCAAGATTATAGGGGTCAGGGATAGATGAGTGTTGGAGGTGGGAGAGAAGGAGTCCAGACAGTATATAGCAAAATTAAGGGATGTGGTTGACTAAGGGTAAATGAAATTGAGGCCCAGTAAAACTTTCCTACTTTTAATGGAATTTTTAGAAACAGAAACCTACAGTTGGAAACTTGGCTATATTTATACCATGTATGTTTTCTGTAATTATTTGTTTTCTGTTTTCCCTCATGTTTAGTAAAGCTGTTCTTGAAAATACCAGTCTGTCGTAGTTACGCCAAGGAAAAACATTTTTGTCCACGTTGAAAAATTTAAAGGGGAACCACACAGCTTTAGATGAGATGTGACCAGGTGATGTAGTGACATAGAGAATCTGGAAAACAGAAACCCAAAGTGAAGATGAAAGTCAAGCACAGAGTCAGGGGAAGTGGTCCTTCCCTTCCAGCCTACAAACACTCTTGATTTCAAGAGTCTGATTTGGTTCAGCTCTGATCTGTTTAAACTTTGGAGGGTTTTGTGCTGAGTCCTAATTAGACAAGGCTAATTCTTTACAAAGTCACACGCATGAAATATTAAACTATAGAAGGAATTATCTAGTTGCACAAAAAGGCTTAGATGGAATTAGATGAAGAGAACTTGAGAGGTGCTCTATGATTTGACATGTATGCAAAGAGTATGTAAGAAGTTCTGGGCATAAAGCAGAGTGCTCTGAGTTTGGGCCTCAGTATTTCTTTCTTTTTTTTTTAAACATTTTATTTACTTATTTGAGAGAGAGAATGAGAGAGAGCACAAGAGTGGGGAGCGGGAGAGGGAGAAGCAGACTCCCCGCTGAGCAGGAAGCCCAATGCGGAACTCGATCCCAGGACTCCAGGATCATGACCTGAGCCGAAAGCAGTCCCTTAACCAACTGAGCCACCCAGGTGCCCCTGGGCCTCAGTATTTCTTAATCCATGATTGTACTAGGATTGACAGCTGGATTTTGTCTTTGGGGCAGTCTCTTGGAGAGACCAATGGGGGAGCATTTTTGGTTGTAAGAATGAGTGAAACTTAGGGGAATAACCCAGATACAAAGGCCTAAGATTGGAGGATTTGGGTACAGTATTTAGTAAGATAAAGGGCTGGCCCTGTAGCAGATAGATTGCAGTCCTGAAGGGATACTTAATGTTATTTGTGGTTGTTCTTTATTAGGTAGGATGTCGTCTTAGGGAGCATATTAGTCAGGGTTCTCCAGAGAAACAGAACCAATAGTGTACCTGTGTGTGGGGGGTGGGAGGTAGGGAGATGCACATTCTATAGAGCCAGTGTCCCAGTTGAGTCTTATGCTGGAAGCTGCTGTAGAACTAGGAAGAGCTGATGTCCCAGTTTGCAGGTTGTCAGGTAGGAGAATTCTTTCTTATTCAGGGAAGGGTTAGCCTTGCATTCAAGTCAGGCCTTTAACTGATTGGGTAAGGCCCACTCACATTATGGAGAGCAATACACTTTATTTAGCATACTGATTTAAATGTTTGTCTCATCCAAAAACACCCTCACAGAAATACTCAGAATAATGTTTAACCAAATATCCGAGTATCCTGTGGCCCAGTCAACCTGACACATAAAATTAACCATCACAGGGAGAGAGGCATGTACACCATCAGATTTCCATCCAGAATGGTGAGCTGGTCTTGGAAATATGGTAGCAGTTTGGACAGAAGGATAGAGAGAATCAGACTCTATACCAGGCATAGCTGATAGATTCTCTGACAATGACACTTGAGATTTAGCTTAAGCTTTTTTTGTTTTGTTTTGTTTTTTGTTTTTTTCTGTGTTGTACTTCCTATGTGTTATCTTTAAGCATTAGTGTTATGGGTTGAGTTGTGTCCTAAAACAGATGTGTTGGAGTCCTAACATTTGGTACCTCAGAATGTCACCTTATTTGGAGACAGGATCATTATAGAGATAATCAAGTTAAAATGAGATTGTTAGGCTGGTCCCAAATCTAACATGATCGGTGTCCTTATAAAGGGGGCAATTTGGACCCAGAGACATGCATAAAGGGAAGACAATGTTAAGAGACACAGGAAGAACACAGCCATCTACAAGTCAAGGAGAAAGGCCTAGAACAGATCCTTCCCTCACAGCTCTCAGAAGGAACAACTCTGCGAACATCCTGATTTCAGATTTCTAGCTTCCAGACTTTGAGACAGCAAACTTTTGCTGTTTAAGCCACTCAATTTGTGGTCCTTTGCTATGGCAGCCCCAGGAAATCAACAGGCTTAGTAAAATCTACTACACATAATATCTTATGTTAACAACGCCTGGAAGGATGAAGACAGGAGCTGATGCACATACAGAGATTAAAGCTCCAGGGGTTCGGGCAGGTGGGGAGGTGGGAGGGGAGGTGACGAGGGAAGGAGAGGTGATGAGATGGCACAGACAGTTAGGGAAGAAGTCTGGAGCGGTGAGCTGTGAGCAGAGTCTCCAATGAGGTGTTGAGGATGATAGTACTTTGCATACAAAATAATATTATAAATAAGGGTAGATATCATTTAACTGTTGACAATATCATCACCAGAAAAATTTACTGGCTCCCTACTGAAAAAACTATTAATATGACTAGTTCATAGTGATCATTCCTGTGTTTGATCAGCTGAGAAGCATTTAATGGAGTTTATATTAACTTTAAAATGTTAAAAATTAAAAGGTTTGATTTAACATTGATGATGTTGAAAAGCAAAGGGCATATATTAACTTTGACAATGTTAAAAATTAAAGAAATTAAAGGGATAGTCTTTGGTGACATCTACATCAACCATGGAGGCACAAACATCTTGAGAGAGGACATATGGGAGCAGCAGTAACTACAGCATCACGCGTTGCAAATACGCCTCCTTGTCTGAATGCTACCACACAAGCATTTGGCAGTTTCCCAAGGTACCCCTTCCACTGAAATGTTGCCCTGGTATAGATACAGTGCATCATAAGGCCATATGAGTGGAAAAAGGAAGAATAAATGGAAGGAAAGAAGGAAGGAAGGATGGAAGGAAGGAAGGAAGGAAGGAAGGAAAGAAAGAAGGAAGGGAGGTGGGGAGGGAGGGAGGAAGGGAAGAAGGGAGGAGGGAGCAATGAGGGGAGAGATACAGGACCTTTTCCTACTCCACAGCCAAGTTCCTATCCACTTGAAACAACCAGATTTGGTTTCAGATAACACTATCTTTGGGATATCTAACAAATCTTGTGATTAAATTATTAATGTGGGATAAAAATGTTATTTAATAATAATCTGCAAAAATTAATGCTTCTTTAGTGTACTCATTTCATGGTTTACTTCTAAAATCTTTGAAGCATCTAATTTCAGAAAATAGAATGAAGATTCCTTGGAGGTCTAGAAACTAGGTAGAAGGGGAAGAAATCCAATGACAGTATCTTGACTTTTTTTTTTTTAAAGATTTTATTTATTTATTTGACGGAGAGAGACACAGCGAGAGAGGGAACACAAGCAGGGGAGTGGGAGAGGGAGAAGCAGGCTTCCTGCGGAGCAGGGAGCCCGATGTGGGGCTTGATCCCAGGACCCTGGGATCATGACCTGAGCCGAAGGCAGACGCTTAACGACTGAGCCACCCAGGCGCCCCTATCTTGACATCTTTAATACAGAGTAATACTAATATGGTAACAACAGCTATTCCTTTATTCTAAGGATTTCCATTTTAAAGGCTTGCTGTTATTAAGTTTCCCTGCCTAGCTCCTTTTTAATTATAGTTTTAGGGCTATGTGCATGAGTTGAATTCTACTAAATACCAAATGATTTCCCACATATCTTAGTTTGGAATCTGTCTCTTTTAATAGACAGAAATTACTTCCCCCCAGAAGAATGATACAGTAACAATGTCCAGACAGTCAAAATGAATGTCATTGTCCTTCTTCCTTATTGATGAATAACTACTGATGCTTCTAGTCTCAGGTATAGCTAGGAAAGAAATTGATAATGCATAACTGGGAATAGCTTTCTTTCCTGGGGCATGGAGTTGAAGGGTGGGGGTGTGGACCGAGTGTCCTTTTACCTTAAGGATCTGTTAGCATATCTGCAAGAAAAGTAGTTGATGGGTTTTCTAAAGAAATGTTTCAAAGATTTTTCCTGGCCTGGGATGGCCTGTATATAGGATATACTGTCTTTATGTCTCTAAATATTTTGCAAAAGAGTCTGATATCCACTCTACTTTGTGAAGTCATTTTTGTAAAGGACGTCCTAAATGAAATGAATGGCTGGGGCAATGACTTTGGGAAGGTCTAAACCAGTTCTGATGTAATGCTTCTTCTAGGAAAATCCCAGGACTTTTGGGGGTGCTTGTTTCTGGTTCCATTTCAAAATATGACAGGTTTGGGTAGACTTAATCCAGGTGGACATGATTATGCAGCCCTGTTCCACATCATTAGTGAGAGTAAATGCCTCCGCCAGAATTCTGCCAACACTGTTTCTAGCCAGACATCCATTAGTAAACATTGCAGTCTTAAAATATTGGTTGGCTTCTGTGGTTTGTCTGCATAATGGAAACTAGGTCCAGATTTTTTAAAGTATCAACATGAATAATCTTAGAAATGCTGTTCTCCAAGAGATATAGTTAGAAATTTGAGGCATCCAGAGTAGAATTTTGGTAAAAATCTGTTTAATTTCTTATTTTTTTTAAATTTAAAAAATTCTTAATTTAATTTTTTTTAATATTTCTGGGTTTGTGATAATGCCAGTTAAGGAGGTAATTCCTGAGCTCTCACTTTGCCTTGCTCAGTATGGCTACTTTACGTTCTATATAGACATCAGCATACTTTGAAACATCTTTCTTCATCGTGAGTAGTTCATATTCCAAAGTAGGCATTTCTAACAAACTGAGAGGATTTAGTTGAAATGCACATTACAAATAATTGTCATATTTTACACATTCTTAAAAATGACAATCCTTTTAGTTAGCATACACTTCACAGTTTTAAAAACTCGCCACCCTCTGTTCTCTCTTTTGATCCTTGATGGCCCTGAGGTGGAAAGGGAAGTCCATATCTGCCTTTTACAAGTGAGAAAACAAGCTCAAAGAAATAAAGAACTTAGCGAAGATCCCAAGAACATTAGGCTGCTTTCAAGGTCAGCCTGAAGGTCAGTGATAGTATTTTCTTAGTATTCCTTGTTGAAGAAGGGAAAAACTGCCAGTTAGGTGGGAGGGTTCTAAACTCTGTAACTTGCACATAAGTCCTTTGATCTCATCTAGCTCTAGTCCCCCATGTTTGCTAGAACTCAGTTGTGATAGTTTCCTTTATTACATGTCTACGATGAAAGTTTAACCTTAAAAGATTTACCACCTGCAAGTAGTAAGAAGTCATAGTCGTCTCAGAAAGCCAATGTGCTAAGAAGTTTTTGAGGCTATTTCATAAACCTTGACATGGTTACAAAGATGAACTACATTGCCTTCTCAAATGAAGGACAACAAATACATAGGGATGATAAATTGTAGAGATCACCTTGGAATCAATAACATCCTTGGTGGGCATTTGTAAATAAGATATTGAACTTGCTGAGTCTCCTTCCCTGGAAAAACCCTGTGAAAGTCCACATGTTCTTTTTTACAGTCATCACAACACCCCCACTGAGAGCTGCCCAGACAGGAATGATCATCCCCTATTACTTACGGAAAAGCCAAAGGTTCAGAGATCAGTGGACTGATCAAGGTCCCAGAGTGAGTCATTAGGAGAGACTAACCTCAGGGCTTATTTCTTCTTGATGATTTAAATGACTTGCTTGAGTTAATCAGAGGAAAATGTTTGGAGAATGAGGGCATTTACAGCATAAAATATGCAGGTATTCAGGGGGATTCAGCGTAATTCCTCATTCTGCTTCTAACTAGTTATGAGATTTGGACAAGTTACTTGAGGATATACTGTCTTTATGTCTCTAAATATTTTATCAGTATATCCTTAAGTAACTTATCTGTAAGATACTTACAGACTGGGCCTCAGTATCATTCCTGGAGAAATGAAGCAGTTGAACTAGATGAGGAGTTTTCAAACTTCATTCTTTTTAAAGGAAACTCTTAATGACATAGACATTCATTCAAAGTACATTGCAATGTTATAAAATTAATTGATAAAAACTGGGATGCATACAATACTACCTCCTGCTTGATTTTCCCCACCTCCTACAGGATTCCTTGGATACAGTCTAAAAATCATGGTATTATGTAATCTGAAAGTTACTTTCTGTTCTAAAAATCAATGTTTTTATGATTGGAAGCAAGTAGCTTTCTAATCTGCTACCTGCTCCCATCCCCTACGGCATCTTGTGGTATAAAAGAGCTCCAGACTGGAAGTCTGGAGGAGCTGGGTGTGGATCTGTGCTCCACCCACCAATTATCTATGTCACTTTAATCAAGCAGCTTCACCTCTCTAAGTTTCTGTCTCCTCATCCATAAAATAGAAATAGTAGGGGCGCCTGAGTGGTGAAGTTGGTTAAGCGTCCGACTCTTTGTTTCCATGCAGGTTGTGATCTCAGGGTCATGAGACTGAGCCCACATCAGGCTCTGCGCTCAGCACAGAGTCTGCTTAAGACTCTCTCTTCCTCTCTGTCTGCCCCACCCCATCTCTCTCAAATAAATAATCTTGAAAAATAAAATAGAAATAGTAACCTTTCCCAAGTAAGAGTGCTTTGTAAACTGTAAAAGATTGCATAAATGTATAATGTGGTTAGTATTATCTTCTGTGTACAACACCCTTCCATGGGGAGATGGTTTTATCTTCAGAATGATGCAGAGAGTCAACATGGGTTGAGCTATTCTTTGGCAAGCTTGCCTACGAGTAGGGGTGGTATCTATCATACTTCAGCTTCATCTTCTTGGAGAGCTGAAAGCCAAGTCAGTAGAGAGAGTGTGGGCTATCGACACAGCAAATAATTAAACCAAGGAGGCACCATAGTGCCTCCTTTAAAGGGAAGAATGGTTCCCATAATCTGACCTTGATAACATGACCTGGCTATATTCCCCCTCTGCACAAAGTTATGACCCATTAATACTTGCTGTCATTCAATGAGTGCTTACTACACGCTAGACACTGAATTTTACATGAGTTATCTCAATCTTGTAAGAATCCTCTGCAATGATGTTATCCCTATTTTATTGTGAGAGATAACCAATAAAATGGGGTATTATTCCTATTTTGTAACTTAGAAAGGCTAAGTAATTTGCTCAGGTTCATATCATGGGCAAGTGGCAGAACCTGAACTCTGAATTCAAAACTTGGAACCACTTGCCTCTCTATCGCCCAGTTGGAAGAAATGATTTTTCTCACTCAGCATGAGGGCCCAAAGTTGCCTTAGTCAGCTCCATCTCTTCATTTTTATTATTATTATTTTTATTCCTCCATTCAAAAGTGCTCCGTTCATCTTCATAAAACTCAAAGGTGGAAAGCACCTATTAGTCATTGATGTCCCCGCTCCCCCCCCACCCCATCTCCTGCTTGTCCTCTCTAGCATGTCTTCTGCTCATGAGTTAGGGAATGGAGCCACATTCCTTACCTTGGGGAGTTAGTCCCATAACTAATTCATCTCTGTCAGGAAGATTTTTCTCTTAAGCACATCCTCTTCAATTTTGCATTCTACCCCATTTTTTTCTCTCTGTGGGGCTGCACACTTCAGCTCTTCAGATCACACTTGCCTAAGCCTGCCCAGGTTCTCAGCAGTGATTTTGCTGAGCTGCCTCTTCCCCTCACACTATGGCCAGAGTATTTTTCTTATTAGTACCTGGAAGATGCTTTCCCCAGTGGACAGAAGCAGAGGTGAGCTACAGGGGTTGCTGGGAAAGAAAGGGAGGAGGAAGAGGAGGGAGCACAAGCCTTGAAACCTGCTTAGTCAGCAAACCTTGGACCCAGCTCAGCTTGGACATTTAGGTGGCCCCTCTGTGGGCAGCAGAGGCATCTACTGTCCAGCTAGGCACGATTCCATGAGGATGCTGTGCCAGGCTCTAAACTTGTGCCAGGAGTCACAGAAATAAATGGAGTGCATCATCAGAAGAAGATTGTGTGGGTCAGTGGATAATATGTCAGCTTTGGGATTTGAAAAATCTAGTTTAAGTTATTGCTCTTGTTTTTACGTAGCTATGGGGAAACAGTACCTACCTACGCTGTTTCTGTAAAGATTCTAGACAATGACTGGGCATACAGTAGGCATTCAATCAATGAGAACTCTTATTTTTCAAAGCCCTGATTCTAAATAACTTGTTATAACAACGTCCTCATAACTTTGTATCCTATTTGGCGTGTCTAGGCAGCTATCCTTACCTCTTATTCTTCCATTCTTACTGTGCTGCAAATCAGTTTAGAGTAGGCTCATATTCTGGTTTCACCTCCAGCATCAGCAACTCCACAAGGTTCACCATTGCCTAGAAAGCAGAACTCACATATTAGCTATCAGATCCAAATCAACATTAAATTTGCTTTTCAATTTTCACTTTGATGTGAACCTTTCCATTGACATGCTGAAATAGATATAGATATCAATCTATTTGCCATCTTTGTTACAAGCTTTGCATGTATGTTGAAATTTCTCATTTGTGTCAAGGAACCATTCCATGTGCACGGGTATTGGCAGTAGTGTCTTAATATGCAAACGGAACCCAACTTGGACAAAATATTTCACAAAACACTCTTTTCAAATGAATGCACAAGACCATTCTCAGCCAAAGGAAACAACCTCTTTTGGGCAACTGAAATCTACTCATTTAACAAATATTTATTGAGAGTCTACAATGTACAAAAAGGCCTTGTAGGCACTGGGATACACTGGCTGACATGGCATACCTCATTGAAACAAATCTCCTCTCTCATGGAGCTTACATTGCAGTGGGAAACACAATAAACAAGAAAACACATAAATAAAGAAAATTAATTTGAGATAATGATGATTGCAATGAAGAAAGCAAAACAAAGTGATATATGGTGATTAGACAAGTTTTTTGTTCATTTATACATTTATTTTTACTTTAATTTACAAATCAAGCTAATAGATGCACATAGATTAAAAAAAAAATCAGAACTCTCCCCCAAGTCTAATGAATAGGGAAAGGAAAGGTGGGAAGGCTTTTCTGAGGCGCTAATAACTGAGCTGAGACCTAAATTAGGAGGAGACATATATAAGAAGGCCTGGGGAAAAGCATATCAGCAAAAGGAAACAGCAATCCAAGAGCATTGAGTGCAAAGAAGCATGGTGTACAGGTCCATCGGACAGAGGAAATGACAATGTAGTTAGGGTGAATTGAACAAAGGGTTGAGAGGTAGGAGGTGAGATTGTAGATGTAAGCAGAGGCCAGACCATATAGGCTCTTGCAGGGTATGGCAAGACTATTGGCTATGTTCCAGTTACAGTGGGAGGCCATGGACAGGGCTGGATTAGGCCAGGAAGAGATTTATGTTTTTAAAAAGCTGATTCTGTCTTTTGGCTAGAAGGTGGCATATAGAAGAACAACAGTGAAAATAGGAGGCTTTTACAGTAGTCCAGATGCGTGATGATGGTGGCTTGGAGCAGGATAATAATCGTAATGATGGTAAAATTGAGGATTTCTTTCAGAATAATTTGTTCAGAATTTCCAGAATTTGTTCATAAATTGGATTTGGGGAGTGAGGTAAAGCAGAATAAGTCCTAGGTTTGGACTTGAACTTTTGGGTGTATGGTGGTGCCATTTACTGAGACAGGAAAGATTGCAGGTAGAACATTTTTGGGGCAATTGGTTTTGATTTCGGGAAGTTAAGATGATAGACCTATGAAACAGTCATGTGGAAATGTCTAAAAGGACGACTTGCTTGTCCTCTCTCACAATGCACAATCAAATTGTTGGCTAGGCTAGAGGTATGCACGAAGAAAGCCAGACACCCATGCCAGTCCCAGATGCCTCAGTCATCAATTTGCAATTTTTTCTAAGAGTTAATTCAGGGGCTTAAGGGACCATGGTGGGTATTCCTTGGATACCTATACTACATTCTAAGATGTTTCTGAATAGCTGTGGTTGGTAAAGGAAGTAGTTTCCCAGAACAGAGTTATATTTGGCCAAAAAACATTTCCAACTACATTTTCCACTTGGCATGTAGACAGAATATGGCATGGTATGAAGAAATAATACAATCTGGTTTGAAAATGTTTCTTAGGCATAGACATACTAAGGAGAAAAGGGTTTATTTTTCTTCTCTTTCAGATTCTGGTTCATAAATTTATAGTTCTTAGAATTGGGAGGATCTTAAAGAACAGGGGATTTAGCCCCCAATCTCAGACACACAAAGTATTAAGGCAGTCAATTCCTAGAAGAATCACTATTATTCACTCTGTTATTAACACTACTAAATTCACTAGTGATTTATTAATCATTATTCTATTTTTGTAATAGAGCTTTCTGCCTTTGACAATTAGGCCTTTTCTTCAACCTTCTTACTTTATACAGTCAGGTCTTCAAAACTTATTTTCAGCTAAAAAATTAAGTGTAAATAAAATAAATTCAATAGAGATAAAACATTAAAATAATTTATAATCACTAGGATGCTTCCTCATATGCAAAGTGTGCTTTGGAGGTAAAAACCATCCTTCTCCCTGCCTTAGTGTTTAAATATCTCCCCTGGGATATCATTTTACTTTATTTTTAAAGATTTTATTTATTTATTTATTTGAGAGACAGAGAGAGGGAGTGCACGTGCATGTGCGAGT